ATTCAATTCTCGATGACTTCGACAAGATATATAAACTTCACGACGACGGGCATGGATTTCTGAATGTAACCGATTTTCTGGCAGCCATGAATCCCCGATTCCCGGAAATGCTTCAAGTATCAATAAGGGATCACTTGACAAATTTGGGATATTCAAATCGATTAATTGACGAGCTAGTGCAATCTACTCTGGTGGTTAATTACGGACAAGAAACAGATGTCCACAGTTTTGTTGGATGTGTGTCGGTGACGGGGGCTGGATCCTCCCTCTGGTCCATCAAGGGTGGAAACAAGAGGGTACCGTATCTTTCCTCGATCTCTATTATTTCCCTAATTATTTATTTATGACACAATATAAATAAATCGTCTTCCAGGTGGTGGAGGGACTCCTCAATAAACATAAACACATAAGGATCAGGCCTCATATCGTGGAGAAAATTAAATACAATGAACAATATGACTGGGCCGATAAAATTTCGTCTGATTATCCATATACTGTCACCCATAAAGGTCTGAGGCATTGCAATAATTAAAATTCATTAGCAGAAATAATTATATTCGCTGTAATGAAGAGCAATTTTTTATTTATTTATTAATTACAGGAGAAAATGATGGACAGGCGGATGAATATGATATTGTGATTGTCACTGCACCTCTGACTTCCGATCACCGCATGCTCATCGAATTCCAAAATTTTCCAAATAATGAGAATTTTATTTTCTCGGGAAATTATCAAACGACGTACGCCACTTTCATTGAAGGTGAATTAAATCATACGTATTTTGGTGGTGATTCGTCTATTCAAGGAATTCTGAGTTGCAATCCTGAGAAAACGATTGTTAGTTCTGTGGGAAAATTGAGTTCAGTTGAAGGAGAGGAGTCGAGTGTCTGGAAAATATTCACGCGGAATCCCTTGACCCCAGACATTATTGGAAGAATGTTTTCAAAGGTGAGTGAGTAATGAGAGGTCTGTGAGAGGGATAATCAAGTGTTCAATGTGCTTTTCAGATCGATGAGAAAACCGGTCCGATTACGTATGAGTGGAAAGCTTATCCAAGATATTCGGTAAATGATAAACCAGGGAGTTTCAAGCTGCATAATGCTTTGTATCATGGGAATCCCATTGAATGGGCAGCTAGTGCCATGGAGATGAGTGCAATCGGAGGAAGAAACGTCGCTATCCTTGCATACAATGATTACGTGAATCGTTGCAAAAAACTGAAGGATTTTCGATCGAAAACTCGAAAGCTGAATTCAAAAATCGAACTGTAAATATCAACATCTAACTATTTCTAATGTTTCCATCCGAAATCGAAAATATCAAAAATTCCTATAAACTGTAATTATTATTGTGGAAATTTTATTGCAATTTTTTTTATACAGATAATAAAATTCCATT